ACAGCCTTAGTCATCTCCGAAGTACTAAGCGAAGGCAACCCAGCTTCACAACACGGACATTGAAAAGCCCTCTGGTCCCTCGGCAAGTCAGTGGAAACCGCCACAACCGGAGCGTTCCTGGGTTTAATCAAGAACACCTCGTAAGGAACTTCAGAGTGAGCTCTCTTCCAGTGCGCCCTTCTAGGGTGACAGATCTTACTCCAAACACCCTTGTACTCTTCAGTGCACATGGGACACCTCCAATTGTAGACCCTGTGAGCCAAGCTTTGGCCTTTGACCTTGGAGCGTTTAGGAGCCTGGTACTTTTTCTCATTGAACCCTTTGGGAACCGTTCGTTTTCCAACAAAGTCGGGTGGGATCCTTTTGGGGTCAAAAGCAACCGGGGCTTTACTGCTATTGTCTTCAACACACCGGGTCTCGAGTCCTAGTTCCGAGGCAGTAGCGTCTTCGAGTGTCCTGAACAGAGGGACAGGCGGACGGGGAGGCTTGGCACCTCCAGCCTCTCCCTTAGGACAGGCGGCGCGGGCAGGGGTGGCTTCAGGGACCGAAAGAGCACCTCTGCAAGGGGTTCTTGAGTCCAGACTAAGACCGCCAACACTTCTAGCAAGAGCTGAGTTTTCGGGGAGTCCATTTCTCATAGAGTGGGGCACAGCACTAGGGCCAGCAGCGCAGCAGGAGGCACTACAGCTGCTAAAGCGTAACATGGGGTTCATCTGTTTACCTATCAGCTTGATGCGTTTGCGATTGGGAGGGTCCTCAGTAGGGCGAGGCGGCGGGCCTTCCTCCACAGCCTCAAGGCCACTCCTGGCAGAGGCAGACCTTGTTCGGCCCGGGCTTGGAGTGGCTGTAGCAAAGCTAAGTCCACACGGCGCTGAGTCTGGCAGCGACAAAGAGTCCTCAGGTTCAGCATCATGCCCGTTGCTTTGCCGCTGAAAGTCATCACTGCCAGCACCTCGCAACGTGCCGGGTTTTGACTCCGGTGTTTCCCTGAGCCACTCCTGAGGAATTTCAACCCCAGTCTCAGTACTTTTCAAGATACGGTAGTGCCTGTCACGAAGGATCATGCAGATCGGTTTTCGTTTACAAGCGCCCTGTGCGACGCCGTTACGGAACCACGGAGCATGAACGACTCTGCACCAGGATCTTTCCCTGGCACTCCAAGTCCACACCACGATCGGTATGCCTACACGGGACGCAAGAGCCATGATCTGATAGTCATCAGCCCACGTTTCTCTTTTGGCTATCAGCCGAAGGTACGTTTCGAAGTCCTCAGGCGGAGTGTTGTTGGCCCAACCCTCAGTGTCGTCAGGATCAGGAACCCAACGGTCAGCATACTCTTTCTTGTGTGACGTTAGATGAGCGGCAACCAACAGTCTGAGTTTGCTAGCTTCGTTGATCAGGGTGTCTTCCCTAAAAGACTTGTTTTGAGAAATGCCTATGGCCGCAGCAGCACTTCTGTAAGCGCAGTCTCCTGTGCCTCCCTGGTCTACAATGGTCCAGGGCCCTTCCAATTGCTTAAGGAGAAGCTCATCAGGATGTTCTTCCACAGCAATGTTGCTCTTCTTTCCCCTCTCACGAGACCTGCTACGGGACCTAGCAGGTTTCGCTTTAGGGGCCGGAGTGGATGCGACCACTTGCACCTCTTCGTCACTGCTGTCATCCATCTGGGTAGGGTTAACAACATGACGAGGCTTGTCTTGGCAGTCTCTGTCCACCCACTTCTTCTTGGGGGCCTGGAGCCTTGTAGTTTGAACTTGGGCCTGCTTACGCTTGGGTCCCGCTTCTTTGGTGACAGTAAGAAAAACATCCTCAATGTCATCCGCATACGTCCAGCTGTCCTGGGAAACAAAGGCTTCAGGTTTGAGGGCCTTGAAAACCCACACCGGAGGGGAGGCTTTGTTAGCTGAGCGCTTGCGGGAGAGAACCTCAGTCTGTCTCCACTCAGCCTGGTTGAGGAACTGCAACACATCGTGTTGATCCCAGCTACGGGGAGCATCATGAAGAACAAAATGGCCCACTCTGTTCCCTTCATCAATGCTTCCTCCTAGGATTCCAAGATCGTGTCTGCCGCCCTGTCTCGTTACCAGAGGCTTTTTCTGATCCTTAGCAGCAGCCTGAGCGGCTCTCATATAATCTTCGACGGATTTCTGATCATCATTCTTGATCCAAGCGACCTTTTCAGTCTGGTTCGGCTTGCTTAAGACAGCACAGAATAGAGCCCTGTGACCACTGAAGGACTGGGCTCTCTGTGCAAGTGTCTGTGGGACACGTATATGTCCGATTATGGTGGAGTGTTGTCCAACAGTCACGGTTTCCCACTTCCCTCCACTAAGGCTCGTCACCGGAACACCTAGAAGCTGGGCCCACGCAGCTATTAAGGTCATCGGCGTGTCCTGAGCATCTGGTGGAAGGAAGTACTGCCTGTAGTGTCCTGGGGCCAGCAGCCTGAGTGTGACCATGGGGATCTTCGGCTTATCAGGTAGGTTCACCGCGACCGGAGGCTTAGGCACGGGACCTTCGAAGTCTGACAATTGGAAGATTCTCAGTTTCACTCTTTTAGGCTTCACGTCAGCAGCAGAGCTACCGTAAAACCATACCGCAAGTGAGGGGCCAGTTGAGTCCTGCTTGTCAACTTGCGCCACAGTCATGGGTTTGTCAACGTCAAAAGCATCGAAAATGTTACGCATGAGGCTATACGTTTCAGCATCACGGCTAATGACGATGTTTCCTGGGATTTCCTCACCTTTTTCTAAGGCCTTCTGGATCTGATTGGGGGTTGTGAGCACAGCTTTTGCCGTCCATTCTCCTGGATTCAAGCGTTCAGCAAACCGAGTTCCCTTGTCAGGCTTGTTGGCAACGTGTGATCCTTCATGCAACGAGGGCCATTGCGAGTAATCCCAGTTGTTCTGACTGGAATAGTCAACCCATGCCGCTTGGGAGTAGGGACGCTGGTGCTTCCACTTTTTCCACTCCGCTGGGTCCCACCATCCACTCCAAGCATCAGTGTCCTGCCAACTGCTGTCCCCCGGACTGGTGGATACGTCAGCCAACTGACCTTCCCCCCATCCCTGAGGCTCAACCTGACAGGTGTTGTGTTGGGCCTCCGGGGCCACGTTTTGACTTTTCTTCTTCCTACGTTTAGGTGGCCTGTTGTCCCAAGGGGCCTGTGCGTAACCCGTGAGGTCCATTTGCATATGCTGACCAATGGCCTTAACCACCTGATCAACAACCTGTTGCATGAAGCCTGGGCCAAGTCGAAAGACTTCTCTCTGCAACCTCTTACGAGTAGTTTTTCTGGTGCCAGCTGGTCCTGGGTTCTTGGCCTCTCCTACACGAGTAGCCTTGAAGGGGTCCCAACCAAGGGAAAGGCGGTCTTCCACCTCAGCCAGTACTTCGTCCTCGGTGAACTTGGGTTTCACAAGAGGGGTCTCCTGAACAAGCGGCTTGCAGCAGCCCAGAAGTAGCACTGAAAACAGCACTCTGAGGAGACCTATTCTCCTCGGTCTACGCCGCTTCAGGGTCAACCTGCCCGTGTGCACAGCTTGACTGTCAAAGTGCGGAGCGGGAGACATCTCAGTATGCTCCGTGCCGCTGGCCCTTAGCACCAGCCTACAGGAGTTGCCTGGAGATCGTCTGGGCATATGAGCCCATCTCCTGGCCTGCTCTTTAGATGCATTCAAGCCACGGAGTTTCCAGCTTTGACGCTGCTTGGCTAAGCGCCAGGCACGGTCCCTAGCTTTGCATCTGACCCGAGATTTCCTTTGGCGATGTCCTTTTCGCAGTCCAATCCATCTACATTCCTGGCAAATGACCAACAGGCCAGGCCTGATGTCAGAATAAACCGGCTCTTGTGGTGGTTTCTTGGGGCGGCGTCTCTGTGAAACTTTCGAAGAAACATTCGTAGATTTGTAGGTAAGCCCACAAACCCAAAAACAGGTCAGCAAAAGCATCGTGATAGGATACCACACCCCAACAATGCCCTCGTGACCTTTCTGTGTCAGGAACCTGAGAAACAGAGTTTCAAACGAGCTACTCTGATTGTCGTAAGAAGCAATGGGTATGCCCACAGCCTCATCAGAAAAGTTGGTAACACGGCTACAAGCAGGTAAGCCTACAAGTGCCAAGTATTGCAAGCGAGACCCTTCGAAGCCATGGATGGTCATGTAATCGAAGGTCTCCGCGGAACTGTTGTCCCCACTCCAAGCAGTGGCCATGGCTGCAAGCGCATAGGGACTAGACGAATTAGGGGGCCCGAAGGGCCTGGTAGAAGTCCTGATGGACATTGCTTCACAACTGAGGTGTTGTTGACATGGCTTGCCCACGTCAAACTCGGCAGCACTAGCACCTGGCATAAGCAGCAGCGTGCAGAGCAGAAAAAGCAAGGGCGGGGACAGGAGGCTCCGTGCCCCAATGGGCTTGCTTCTCAATTTTGTCTTTCTTGGCTGGAGCTCTTTAAGCATCTTTTGGTTATCTTTTGGCACCTCTTGGGGGAGTGTGCTTTCTGACTTCTTTCGCTGCTTGGTGGCCAAACCAAGCCCCGCCTCAACCGTGCCCAAGAGGCTGGAGGTGAAGTCGCTGAGGCTGAAAATGTGCTTGATGGCATCGGTCGCTGTGAGTGAAAGCGAGACGAAACACCAGAGTTCCAACAACATATTATGCCACACAAATCCAGGCACCCACAAAGCGTGGAGAATAGTACACAAGTCCACATTTTGAAGCATTGTGTACTCCCTACCAGGATCGTAGTGGAAAGCTAGCCATTTTCGGAGTGAAGCCAAGTCATTTGCTCAAATTTAAATGCACGCAACCGGATTGTTGCAGACTGGCTTGCGGGTGCTTCTTGGAGATCTCTATTCAGGTCTGGATGGTGTAGACTGGTAGAACTCGAGTCGTAGTTGCCTCTGCCCGTCAGGCGCAGACGTGCTCAAACTGCCGCGGACTTACTTCACTGGCATGCACTGTTGAATTGGCAAAGGAGTGGTCGTGCTAGCTCCGGGGTCATGAGTCGCGTGGATCACACCTCAGCTGACGTTGATACTTGTGATGGTAGTGATGCTGACGACTGTGAGATGGCGTCGACGATGAAGACCATGATGGCCTTTTTATTGATGCATGGGTGGATTCGTGATGGTGATTCTGAACGCCTAGCTGATGCCACTGGGTTTTGTTAATAAGGTTGTTGACATGAGGATGACGGTAATGACCACGAAGGCGACGGCGATAACCGCTCTCAATCCTGGAGATGACGATGACAAACTGTGTAATTTTCCGTGGCCACGGTAGCCTCAATCGTGGCAATGATGGCCAACCTGGTGGTTTGTCAGATGGCAATAGTCAATATTGAGGCTAACATGGATGAGCGCGACAGTGTGCTAGTCCTGTTACTGCTACTGCTTCTCATGCTACCAGTACTGCTGCTGCTACTGCCAGCACCACTGCCAATGCCTCCTACTACTACTACTACTACTACTACTACTACGACTACTACACCACTACTACTACTGCTACTACTACTACTACTACTACTACTACGACTACTACTACTACTACTACTACTACTACTACGACGACTACTACTACTACTACTACTGCTCCTCGCCAAGGGCCTTCCGACTCTGGCGCCTCTACACTGGTCACACGCGCAGGTGCGCGACAAGTGGCGCCTGGATGTGACCATAAGCTGTGTGAACGAGCGGCCGATCATAATGACCGTTCGCACAAGGGGAGGCGTGGTTCTTCTGGACGGACTTGGTGGAATAGCAGTAGTAAACGACGACTCTGTTCGACCGGCGAAGATTGGAGACCAAGCCCCGTTCCCAGGAAAGCATCCCCAACATTTCCTTGGACATCTGACAGGGTAGCTTCTTTCCACATCCAAGCCGCTTGCAAGGCCATCGGGCCCTTGAAGTCAACATCCTTTCTAGCCTGTCACCAGGACAGAGTCGCTGGCGTGGCACTTCCTCCCCACGCAGGACTCATGCATGCATACAGTAATACGGTGCAGTTCGCCATCAGTAAATGCAAAAGGCCCTAGATGTTGGCCCTCCACGAGAGATGCCAAGGATGCGAGATGGCTGTTCTCTGTCTTCTTCGCTTGGCTGGTCTACTCAAGTGCCGCCGGCCCCAAACTAGTGAAAATGAAACACTTAGTACATGTACATTAAGTACATGGAATATGTACATATACAAATACGAGTAGATACACATGTGCATGTATACCGATTGTCTACGTACACGCATATGTTTATGTACATATATATGTACTATATATATATGTATTATGTATATGTATGTATGTATATATGTGCATTTGTATATATATATATATATGCATGTTTACACATATGTAGAGATTTTGAGAGACATGTGTATGCAGACGTGGAGACATAGAGCCAGATTTGGAGTATTTCGGCTGCAATAGATTACGGTGGTACTGAAGCCGTTGTGATCTTAATGGTGGTGGGCCCTGATGTCAGTATGGTGATAGTTCGTCTGGTAAGCGAACGAGTGGGAGAATCCGGCTATCCAAATCTCTGCCCCGGAGCAATTGAACCCTTGACTTGGCCTTTGCATCGGTCTATCGGGAGCGAAAGGATGCAGCAGATAAGCATGGAAGCATGTTAGGAACAGCACTGCGGCAAGGCATTAGCCCGTCAGCATTCCAAACATCATGGGGATATCCTGTCTGTTGCCAAGACTTGCTTGAAACGACGGGCAAGACTAAAGAATCGTGGTGTCTCCGAAACTTAACCAGGGATCCGGAAAGTTAAGGGTATCTCTGTTGTGTTTCACGAAGGCAAAGCGGCTGAACCTGCACAGCCACAGCAGCAGGCGAACGTCCTTGCTTGGCTTATCAATGCCGTTATCGCGGGGATGGTATTATCAAGTATCATATATATATATATATATATATATATATATATATATATATATTTATTTATTTATTTATAATTATATTTATATATTTATATATTTATATATTTATATATTTATATATTTATATATTTATATATTTATATATTTATATTTATATATATATATATATATATATATTTATACATACATATATACATATATATGTATATAAGTCTTACATGGAACCCTCTTGTCAGTTGCATGAGCTTCCTTGTTTTCTTATCTCCAGTAGCGTACAGTGTTTTCTAACCACGGCAGGGCTGTGGCTATTTTGCGTGCGAGGTTGAGCTGTCTTCAACCTATGTCTTCCTTTGCCTATAATTTGGAGGTCTCCTTACAGCTATGATCAGAGTCTGAGTACAGTCTTCGGAGCACCAGGAAAATATCAGCCCAAGGGTGGAAGGCTGGATGGCGGCAGGTCTTTCATTATTGTGATTACTGCTTGGTAAAGAAGCTTTCCCTCGCATTAGCTTCCGCTGCGAGATCCTCTCTCACGGGCGAAGTTCGAGACTCCGTGCGGGATGCACGCAGCTCAGTGGTACCGGTAAGATTCTTGCTGGAGCTTTACGCCTTTAGGGTTCCGGTGGTCGGCTCGTCAGTCGTAAGGTTTATACTGATTGATGCTATTCCAGCCGTACCCCTGGAAGTTGCGACGGATGCACAGGTCATCATAGATCCTAGGTAGGATAGACCAGGATTGACAGGATAGATAGACGGTGTATTTTGCCCTGTCCCATATCTCAAGAATCTGAGGTGCAGGCAGAACTTCAGGCGCAGACTGCCCCGCCCGGGGCCAGGACTTTCAGCGTCATATGCATAGTCTGTCTGGTGCTTGGTAGGGAATGGGGGAAAGGATTATGGAGACGATTATTGGGGATGATATAGGGGCTACTGTAGGGATCCATTCCCCCGTTCCCTACTTAGCACCAGACAGTAGTAGAAGGAATACATACGTTTGTTACGTATACGAGCAGACTGTGCCGAGTTCCTCCCAGAACATGTTTCCGAAACACCTCAGCCTTAAATGCCTTAATATAGATACTGCATCGCAGCAGGCCTTATACTGCTGTCTACACAGTGCAAGTATGTTTTTCTGCCACAATGACAATGAATCTATGGAGAACACCAGCAACTATGCCAGACATCTTTGCATGCCAGAAGAAGACCTGCAGGCCAGGGCCTATTCAGTTGGATCCATTCATACTTAGAGCTGTCTACGCAGACATATACAATCACACACGACTAGCTCTGTAATTAGATACTTGACATTTATCCTCGTTGATAGTTACGGATACATACTGCATAGTTCTGTACTTCGAGAGATCCATGCATCCGGCACTCAGGCAGCCGCATCCAGCACCTGAGCGACCGAGGCTCGCGGGTGCTTTGCATCAGAAGATACAGCACGCTCCGCAAAGAGTTCAGCTCGGAAGTCGTGTTGGATAATCGGAGAAACCAGCATTGGAAGCATCCACGAGCTCGTGGAAAAGCTTACATTCCTGCCTGTGGAGGTTTCGAGCATGTGCCCGAGTTGAAATGTAGCAGACGGCATAAGAAGAGTGGCTTGAAATTGAGACATGCTGTGTTTTTCGACAGTTTCTGGATTGGTGAATCCGTGAGGCTAGAAATCCAAACCGGCCACAGCGGCATGTTTTTGGGGGTCCAGGGCTGTCATACTCTGCCTTTCCTAGTATGGTTCTGTTGCAGGAGCTCTGAGGTGTTTAACTGCGGGATTTGGGTTCAAGGAGGAAGGTTGATGCGTCCTTCGCACAACCCCGGACGGATGTTGGCTGCTGTCTGGTGCTTTCCTCCTCTCTTCCCTCGTCTCTCCTCCTCGAAACCCCTGGAGCTGATCACTCGCCAGATAGCCCGAACTTGTCTCGGCAAACCTCCGCGAACTCCCTGAAGAGCTTCAACGAGGCCGCTTGCTGGCTTTTGGGGGCATGGAGCTTTCGCGTGAACGCTCTAGACAATACTGACAGCAGAAGATCACGAAAGCAGTCTACCACTTCACTTGTCAGATTCGCACTGGGACTGAGGACAGAGCGAGAGGCGGCAGCATGTGTATCTAGTCTTGCGCTTGCGCTGCCAGGCGAAAGCACGGGCAGAAACATTCCACAAGCTGATTGCCAGCCACGAACGTTTTCAGTGGTGCCAGCTGCCAGCGGTCATAGACCCTCGAACCTGACAGGAAACTCGCTTGGAGCAGAAGGAGACTCGCTTGGTCACGGAGGTGCGCTGGATGTCTCACGCAGACACATTCGAAAACTTCTGTACCAGTACGTGCTGAGGCGTATGGGCGCAGTCATGCAGCCTGTCTGGCAGTGTCAACACCGTGATTGGTACTTCATTTGTCATACTAGAGGGCACATCCGATGCACGCTGCCATCGTTGCGTACTGTGGTGTCCCGATGTGGGGTTCGATGGGCCATAGGGGGCTGGAGAAGTCCTCTGGACATGAGTCGAGTGAAAGGCTTCAAGGCGCAAACGCTATTCTGCCATTATCCGCAGCTGTTTACACTCGTAGGTTTTAACTAGTTCGCAGAACCAGCAATGTCGCGGATGGAGCCCCCGCTCGATCCAGCCACACTGGCCGCAGATGTGGGCGGAAGCGAGGCGTGATTGTTAGAGCAGGGTCTTGTGCAACACCTCGTTGCCATGTAGACTGTGGACGAGATTGGACGAGTTGAGAGATTGAGAGGAGATAGGAAGCTGCCTACATACAGCAGCAACTGCTTCCATGTCGAGAGTGCTCTCTCTTGCGCCGGCTCACGCTCAGGCCCAGGTGGATTTCCTGCTTCAGAAATACTGCCGGGCCGCGGAACGCAATCGGTGCTTGCGAAGGCACCCTGGCCTTGTCCGAGACCTTGCATCATGCTGCTGTGCAATGCCGACATTAAATGAGAGTATAGCCACATGCTCGTGGCAAGAAGCATATGTGGCCATGCTGTGGAAAGTCCAATATTGAGCTTTTGTTGCGCTAGTCTGGCCATCCCAGGAAACGCGAGGATTACAGACGGTGGCTGCAAGGGCTGGGCTCTCATCAAGCATCTTGGTACTTGGTGCATTTGAGCAATTCCACCCCACAATGTGAACGACCGCAGGCATGGCAAAGAGCCTTTCCCCATAGAAAAATACCAGCAGTCGACGAGCATGATCGAGCATGATCGCACGAAAAGAGAGTTGCGGCCCACCGACTGCACACTGAGAAACGCAGTCATGCCTGCATCCGAAGTGTGATCAGAGACTTCTTTTCCCAGGTACCGCAAGACAAAGCTCCCCGAACATCGGCACAAAGACAGTCGAAGCCGCACCGAAGCGCGCGGGCACTGAAAAGAACCTTGACTCAGGCCTTGAACCAAGGTTGAGAGGGTTTCGGGTTCAGATCTTGGGGTGTAGGATGCAAAAGGGTTTTTGGTTTGAGTGCAGGGTCTTCACTCCACCTTTAGAATCGTCTCCTGATATGTAGGATGGAATGAGCCAGATTGTGATTCTTTTGACTCGAGTGGTTGGTTTGGCTTATCACCCGAGGTTTCCAGCTCCCACTGCTCCACGGCCCTTTCTTAGGCATAGTTGTGTGCCCGAGTTGATTGAAGGCTGAAGGTCGGAATGCCCGACCTGCATTGGAACCTCCCCTACTAGTAACAGCCTAACAGCCCTAAGAATCCTTACTTGTAGAACGGGCAAGCCATTGGCCGCCCTTGCGGACCTGTACTGAGAACTATTTGTAGCAAAGGCTGGTATCGCTATTTGCAATGGGACACACACACAGGCACTCGTCATGGCATGAGACTGAACCGGCAACGCCGCCCAGGAACTTGCCTTGCCAAGGGAAGCATGGCCACGTGTGGCCTGGCCTGGCGGGGACTTGATATTAGACCAACAGTTCCTGGGTTGGAGTCCTGGTTTCGGCACCCAAAAGCCGTGAAAACACTTGATCCTGTCAACTTCTAGCAAACACCCGCTGACCATAAAACCTACATTCCAAAGCAGCCCTTGAGGTACAGACGTTCCCAGTGTGTATCTGGGCCGCGGTGGCCGCTCCCGCAAGCTGGCGAGGAAGCCTTCCGCCCTTCGGCTTTGGTTTCCTTGTGCTTGTGTCATAAAATAGTACACAAAAACAACACCACCACTACCAGTACCACCACTATCACCACCACGACTACCACTGCCACTGCCACCACCGCTACCACTGCTACTGCTACTCCCACTACTACTGCCGCCGCCACTACTACTGCTAATGCCACTACTACCACCACCACCACCACCACCACCAGCACCACCACCACCACCACCACCACTATGACCACGACTACCACTGGTTCTACCACTGCTACTGCCACTTCCACTGCCACCACCACCACAACTACGACGACGACTACTACTGACTACTACTTCTACTACCACGACGACGACACTGCTACTGCTACTGCTACTGCTACTGCTCTTGCTACTGCTCTTGCTACTGCTACTGCTACTGCTACTGCTACTGCTACTGCTACTGCTGCTACTACTCCTCCTACTACTCCTACTACGACTACTACTACTACCACCACCACTACTACTACTACTACTACTACTGCTACTACTACTACTACTAGAACTACTACTACAACTACTACTACGACAACAACTACTACTACGACTACTACTACGACAACAACTACTACTACGACTACTACTACTACTACTACTACTACTACTACTACTACTACTACTACTACTACTACTACTACTACTACTACTACTACTACGACTACTACTACTACTACTACTACTACTACTACTACTACTACTACTACTACTACTACTACTACTACTACTACTACTACTACTACTACTACTACTGTTGCTACGAAAAATCCTGCATCGATTTGTCGACACAGGTCTCTCCCCCCGCAACCCCCGAATCTTAATATTGAGCCCAAAGGCACCGAAAGGGCGACAGGCGCGAATAGTAAAAATCCTGCATGACCCGATGGCCTCAACAATATTGAGCCCAAAGGCACCGAAAGGGCGACAGGCGCGAATAGTAAAAATCCTGCATGACCCGATGGCCTCAACAACATTGAAATCGGGGCGAGGGCAGAAGTCGTCCAGGTCGTCGCTAACACTGTTAGTAGACAGGTCATGCAGGAATCTTAATATTGAGCCCAAACGCACCGAAAGGGCGACAATCCTGCATGGCCCGATGGCCTCAACAACATTGAAATCGGGGCGAGGGCAGAAGTCGTCCAGTATTCGTCTTCTATTGATTCAAATTTTTGTAATATCGAAAAATACTTTTTTGTTTCAAATGTCGTGGCTATTCCCACTGTTAGCATTATTGGAACCATTATAGTGCAAGAAGTAGTAGTCGTCGTCGTGGTGGTGCTGGTGGAGGTAGTGCTAGTAGTAGTAGTAGTAGTAGTAGTAGTAGCAGTATTATTAGTAGTACGGTGGATGGTAAAAATCCTGCATGACCTGTCTACTAACAGTGTTAGCGACGACCTGGACGACTTCTGCCCTCGCCCCGATTTCAATGTTGTTGAGGCCATCGGGCCATGCAGGATTTTTACTATTCGCGCCTGTCGCCCTTTCGGTGCCTTTGGGCTCAATATGGACGACTTCTGCCCTCGCCCCGATTTCAATGTTGTTGAGGCCATCGGGCCATGCAGGATTTTTACTATTCGCGCCTGTCGCCCTTTCGGTGCCTTTGGGCTCAATATTGTTGAGGCCATCGGGTCATGCAGGATTTTTACTATTCGCGCCTGTCGCCCTTTCGGTGCCTTTGGGCTCAATATTAAGATTCGGGGGTTGCGGGGGGAGAGACCTGTGTCGACAAATCGATGCAGGATTTTTCGTAGCAACAGTAGTAGTAGCAGTAGTAGTAGTAGTAGTAGTAGCAGTAGCAGTAGCAGAAGCAGTAGTAGTAGTAGTAGTAGTAGTAGTCGTCGTAGTCGACTACTACTACGACTACTACTACTACTACTACTACTACTGCTTCTGCTACTGCTACTGCTACTACTACTACTACTACTACTGCTACTACTACTGTTGCTACGAAAAATCCTGCATCGATTTGTCGACACAGGTCTCTCCCCCCGCAACCCCCGAATCTTAATATTGAGCCCAAAGGCACCGAAAGGGCGACAGGCGCGAATAGTAAAAATCCTGCATGACCCGATGGCCTCAACAATATTGAGCCCAAAGGCACCGAAAGGGCGACAGGCGCGAATAGTAAAAATCCTGCATGGCCCGATGGCCTCAACAACATTGAAATCGGGGCGAGGGCAGAAGTCGTCCAGGTCGTCGCTAACACTGTTAGTAGACAGGTCATGCAGGATTTTTACCATCCACCGTACTACTAATAATACTGCTACTACTACTACTACTACTACTACTACTAGCACTACCTCCACCAGCACCACCACGACGACGACTACTACTTCTTGCACTATAATGGTTCCAATAATGCTAACAGTGGGAATAGCCACGACATTTGAAACAAAAAAGTATTTTTCGATATTACAAAAATTTGAATCAATAGAAGACGAATACTGAAATATTTCACTATAAGAGTTAAAACACTGAGCGGTTAAGATGTTAGGCAGGAATCCTGTAATGCCACGTTTGCACAGCCGTATTCAGAATTGAGTTTCGGCTCATCACACCCGGGGTGGCATACGGTGCTGCTTGCTGGTTGTCCGTTTGAGACTCGTAGATCCAGCCGGCAGAAAGCCAAAAGAAGTGGTTCGTGCTGTTGCCGGTTTCCCATCGACCCATGAAACTGCACGGAAGTGTAGTAGTGTCGATCGTCCTGTTCACACACCGAGGTATCGCCTCTGCTTAGCCTCCAGCAAGATGTCTCTCTCGACCAGACAAGAAGCCCGCCACTGAGACAAGGGGCCTGTATGACATCGGTTGCTGACTACTTAGGCCACTGGTACAGTTTGTTGTGTCTGGGTCTATTAAGAGTTTTCAAATACTTGTGAAGGTGCATCCTACTTGCTAAGAACCGGACTATAAGTTACCGCGTTTGCTGGAAAGCACGTACACTGTTGGCTGACTCTGTGGGTACGGTTCTGCCAGGCTTTAGGCAGTTTAAGGTGCAAGGCTCCTTCACGTGCTGCAATACCGGCAACACGGAACGCTCAAGCAGGCGTTGAGATCAGAGATACAAGATAGTCTAGGGTACCAGCCCATGGAAGGCTCTACCTGGCAGATTTGAACCCCGGCCTGGTGCCTGACGCT